CAGTAATTTGTAAACATCGCAATAGATGTCGGAAAAGTATAAACTGAAAAAAAAAACACAATGTGATTGGTAATCTATTCAAATTACTGACGAATTTCTGAAGGACGGCCAAAAAATAAAAATAAAAACCTTTAATTTTTGCCCACATGTTATCGACAGAAGTAATGGTCATAGATAATTGTCTCCATCATTTCCATCGAAAATCCAACTTTCGATGGTTAATTGATACCAAGCATATATCATCAAAGTATGTCGAAACAAAGTTCAAAAAGTTAGTTTTATTTTTATTTTCTGGAAGTCTGTCAAAAATCCGTCAAAAACCTTTGATTATTTTTGACGGGATATATAATCAAATGAAACTTTACCAAAAATTCACAATTAGTTAAAAGTATATTTTTTAATTTCCGTCCAAAAAAATTTCCGTCAGAAAACCATCGAAAATCCAATGATAACATGTTGAAAATTCACGGAATATCTTTTAATTATGTTACTACATCCACTAACTTTCATGAGAATTTCGACAAGAATGTTGGTCAAAATTTTTTACGCTTCGGTCGAAAAGTTTGGTTTCCGACCAAATGTTTAACGTCGAGACATAATCATTGAAAATCCATTGAAAAAACCAAATTTCGACGAATTATCGACGGAATTTCCTGTCTATGATACCCCTTCACTTTGTAATGTATATATTGCAATAAAACTAGTATACATCTATAAAGCCTTCTTAATTTAAACTATAACAAATTCACAATTAATAAATAAAATGAAGATGCTGTTTGGCAGTTGCTGAATGATTTGGTGCAAAATGATTAAGTGGTCAGAATTATTAAAAAATTCTTATAATATAGTGCAAAATGAAATATAATTGTTTGATAATTATTCAGAATGAAATTAGTGTACCGAATGGTTAAGAGAGGTCCAAGATACAAAATTATTGAGAGGTTTTAGAACTATTAAGAGGCATATTTTTTTTTTGCCGAACAAGATTTACCTCTTAGCAATTCAGAGATGCCTCTTAAAGGAATTATTAAGAGATAAACAAACAACCCCTTAGGTTTTTCCAAAAGGCATGGTCAAAGAATATTTATTTTTTGATATTTAAAATCAACATGCCATTTTTATTACTTAGAATAATTGATATACCACTATTTTTATACTTCAAAGTTAAAATGAATGAATCTAATGGATTAGATATTGGTGATAAATACAATACAATGAATAAAACTAACCATTTCAAAACTGCTTAAGTACACATACACACACACATATATATATATATACACATATATATATATACACATATATATATATACACATATATATATATATACATATATATATATACATATACATATAT